TAAATTGTATTATTTAAGGTCTGGGATTTTCTCAGTCATTACAAAAACAATAATTTTAACACTGAAAAAATATCACGGTTCCTACCATAAAAACACTCAATTTTCTTTAGTGATATTTTGAAAGAGTTTGTGCTGGTTTGTTGTGTAGTGAGGAAACACTTTAGTATTCTCTTTGTACCGTTGAAAGAAAACAAAAATCCCTCGGATGTAATGCCCTTTTAGAGAGACTAAGCAAGACATGGGGAAAAAGGGTTTTGTGCAGGTTTTTTGGCTGTCAATTAGATTCTGTATTTACCGTGATCCAAAGTTAATTAGCAAACTGTATTTCCCTTTCTTCCAGTTAAAAGGAGAAAGTTGGGGCAAATTCATTGCAGCATTCCCTTTGTTTTTTTCAAGATAATGCCCGACAAATGCTAACTCCAATAAAAACATGTGAAACCATGACGTAAGTTTAACTTAGACTTAGCACTTAATTATTTTACTAAACGCTAGTAAAAAGCCTTATGGTGGACCATATTATAGGGTCAATTTATTTACGAGTTGAATGGGTTAACTGCTTTTTTATCCTATGCTTTCGGTACCAATAATTCAAAGCACAGATTTCATTAAAAAAAAAAAAAAAAAAGGACATGATAAAATGGGTGGTTCGCAAAGAGGTCATGATTATCTTCACAAAGCCATAAATCTGCTGGGCCATCTTAAATGATGGTCATTGTGAAATAAAAGTTTTAAAGGAGTCTTTTTCTTTGAGGATGAGGATCAAATTAAATATTCAATAGTCTTTAAATATTAATCAATAGTAAAGTCACAAGATCACATAAAAAAATTATGTTTAACACGTTTTATATTAAACTAATAGTATTTCAATTTTCAACCAACAAAAAGGTCACTTCTGCTACACAAGTCATACATTAATATATATATATATATATATATATATTACAGTGAATATCAGGACAATATTTGCATATATATAACAATTTGGTGTGGGACAAGACATGCAATAGCCAAAGGTGATGATCAATAATGAGGTAAATGAACAAACACAAGAAGACAGAGAGAGTCACATATTTTTCATGCTTGGAGACTTTTTTTGGTCCTTAAAAGTCCAATAAACAAGTGAAGCGTCGACGTCCAAAGAAGACATAATGATAAGTCTGACGTAAAATCAAAGCAATTATGTATGAAAGAGCGTAGGGTGGGGACAAAAGCCGATTGTAAAACATAGGTTTTTTGTTTCGCTGATTTGAGTTTAATTTTTTTGCTATAATAAAAAATTCTCACATAAAATTACATCTTAATTCGAATTCTAAACTCAAATCAGTAAAACGAACGAGGCCTAAAAATATCTCAGAGAACTTTTAGATTCTAAAAAAAAAAAAAAAAAGGAAAGAACTAAAGGGATTTTTGGGTAATACAATGGACATTCAAATCAATATTGTGAGACTACAGGAAATAAAAATGTCCTCATTTAAGGAGATTAGTTAACACGCTTTCTTAGTTCCTTGTTGAATTCATCTCAAACAGTGGCGCTTGATGTGACATCCAAATAAAATCTCTTAAGCCAACAAATATCAAAGCAATTATGTTTGACATAAACGGTTACGTTGTTTTATGTCAAAAACTGTTTGTTATATGTATTTTTTTAATTTAATGTAATTTTGGCTTAATCAAACTATCAAAAATTTTCCGTTGGATGGAAAGGCCCGACCGTTTATAACAAAAAAATACATTTTGTTAGCAGTAGATTAGAAACTTCTTTGTCTTATGTTGATTTTCAAATGCAATGAACCTTGCATTATGTACCAACAAAAATCAAAGCAATTATGTTGACATAAACGGTTACGTTGTTTTATGTCAAAAACTGTTATACGTAATTTTTTAATTTAATATGATTTTGACTTAATCAAACTATCCAAAATTTGCCATTCGATAGAAAGGCCAGACCGTTTTTAACAAAAAATACATTTTGTTAGCAGTAGATTAGAAACTTCTTTGTCTTGTGTTGATTTTCAAATGCAATGAACCTTGCAATATGTATATGTATATATGTTAACATGATCACTACTCTTCGAGTTGAGTTCCAGCCTTTTTTTTAACGTGATTTTCAGCTTGTTTTAATATCCAACTTCAACTCTTAAGATGTAATATGAATAATATCTTGTTAACTAATCTCACTAATCAATTCGAATGTATAGTCCTCGTCCAATCAGAAAATGTTTTGGGATATTTATTTACTTGTATAGTTGTAATAAGCTTAGTCATGGGGTGACAGAGCCACACAGAGTTGAGTAGCTGAAGACGTTCGGTTCATGAATTAGAATCATTTTCGATTTACGTGTATTTTTTATGAGAGAAAATATTGTAGCGAATTATGAACCATGATTCAAATCATGGTATGAATCTTCACTTAATAAGAAAAATTATAACTGTACTTCTATTTGATAATAAATAACTCATAATTATAAAAACTCTCTCTCTTATATTTTCCCCCCCTGAAAAAGAAAATTCACTAGCTCCATCAATGAGGGTATGCTGACATAGTAATAAAAACATAATTTTTTTCCCCTTAATTATAATATCCTACAATGCAAACTCCAATATTACAAAAGCACGAAAGGGTAACTCGGCACTCATGATATTGCATATCGCCATAACCAACTCTTTGGCTTGGCTTACATATTTTTAATATTAAACATTCCGCTCTTGATCTATGAAACAACATGACTAACTTAATTAGAAATAAATAGCCAAAAAAAAAAAAAAACTAAGAAAATATTGTCCATTTGCTGCAATACAAAGTTTTAATTAGGTATAGTCTTTGCATTATATGAAAACGTTGAAACTATGAATCTAGCTACTTAATGCGTAATGCTCTAATTAGCTAAGTTAAGCTATGGTGAGATTGGTATGAAAGCTCCATGGAATCCATATGGAACTCTACATGGCAATGTAATTCTGGCAACGGGCTCACCGGAGAATTTTTGTGCATCGATCAGAAAAACCTGCACATAATGATTTCATCTTTAAGGAGAATGGACATGAAAATGTCCAAAAATAATGTAAATTCATTGAATAAAATTACTTGAGATATGTTGGTCGCTTCATTGTGAACAAAAGTGACAATCCAACCATCATCTTCTTCAAGACCTCCTTTCTTAGCGACAAAAGCAGCTCCAGTACAAAAAGTGTTCTCCTCAAACATATGGTATTCCACTTTTAGCACCTCTTCAATCTCTCTTGTTGTCTAAAAATATCAGAGCATAGAAGACTTATTATAAAACTTATTTAATATTTGCTCAAAAGAGAAGAAAATTAACTGAATAACGTCAAAGACGTTATTACCGTTGAAAACCTTTCATCTAGCTGTTCAAAATGTAGCTTTGCTAGACCACTAAATCTGGGCATATTATCTGCAATCCAGTTCACATGAGAAAGATTAATTATTAAGGGGAAAAATACCAGAATGGAAACACTTTAAATTTATAGCATGAATTATATATTAGCTAACCATGTAGTATACCTTCGGTCGGAGAGCTCTCCCTAGAATCATGAACAACTTGTGTGTAACCAAATTTGTTCTTGAGACCAGTAAAACTTGGATTGATCATGGGAAAATCCATGGAAAATTCTGTGTCAGCCGTGAGATTTCTCTCCCTAACTTTTCCAGTTTGCATGTTTAATCGCCATTCGTAAGGGCGATCGTATAGTAATCCATCTTTGATCGAGGTATCAAATTTTTCTTTACTTGGACCTAAACCTGGTCCTGGTATGACTGATTCAAGAGATCTACAACCCCACACCACAACCTGTTTATCCAAAAATTAATATCGAATTCAACATTAATATTCTAATTAATCAATAATTAAGATTCATTAATATGATCAAATTGTATATATACCTCGTCATCGCCATCTTCAAAACAATTAATGATGTGAAATGTGCAATTCGGTTCAACTTCAAACCATTTGATTGAATCTCCATCTCCATGGCGAGGCATTACCCCAATCCTAGCATACTCTTCCTTGTTGTATTTCATAAGTCTATACACATATAACTTATATGTAAAGCATATAATTACTAGATGCTTACTATGAATTTATTAAAAAATTAAAAAATTAAAAAATTAATAGCGCAGGCAAATTCAAGTACTCACGTTCCTCCCAGTAAAAATCTCGTTAAGTCTATAGTAAGTGGAAAATCCATGAACACATTGTACCTACAGGCCAATAATTAGCTATCATTTCAGTACTTAAATGGAAGGTTTTCTTTTTCCCCTTGGAACTTAAATGGAAGCTTAATATAATTAATTAACTACAATCCAACACAGAGAACAATTCTTACCTCTCTGTAATACCAAAGTCATGGCTAAATGTACACCGATCGAGTTTAAGATCCGCTCTATGAACTAATTCCTTTCCATCAGCTGAAAAATGGAACCATAATAAGTTAAACAAGAACTTTCAGAAAGCTAATTTCACCAGATCATTTGACTAATCACAATTTATTAAAAATGCTTCTTTGACATAGAGATTTGTATTCACATACCGGAAATTACGCCCAATTCATAATAAGGTTTAATTGCGTCCATTCCAATTATAACCAACTCTCCAGTGCCAGGAGCTATCTGTAGCAGATATTGTACACGAAAAAACCATAAAAGAAGAGTACATTATGAAGCGTAGTAGCTAAGGAAATTAAAAAATAAATAAATAAAAAAAAAGTACCTTTGGATGACTTGTACAAGCTCTGTTCCAAGCGCCAGAGAGATCCATATTGCCTAATGTTTTTAATGTGGAAATATCAATCTCTTGAGGCATGTAATCTTCTGCCACGGAATATACCTTCCCTGAATGCTCAAACACATTGGTATTGCTCAAGTATTTGACTATTTTACCGTATCTCATCTGGAAAAAAAAAAATAGATAAAATAATTAATCACTCAAAACTCGTCTATATATATATATATATATTTATATTCTTCTAAAGTATGTGATTAGATAAAACTAGCTAGACTTCCATATATGTGTTGTGTTATACACGTGGATATATGCGTATATTTTTATAAGAAAAATGAATTGTCTATTTTAGAGGAAAATTTATATGATTAGAGATTAATCAATAATATATATTGCACCTACCAAGTTGAGCACAATAGCAGATATAACAGCTGTTACATCGCCTTCCATGATGGGAATAAAAGATGGCTTAGTTCTTTGTTTATCTTGCTTGAAAGTTTCTGTTTCAACATATCTGTTGTTATAGTGGAGAGTCCGATTGCGATCATCGTCTCTACTAAAGTACAGAGCATGAAGCATTCCTTCTCCTTCTACCCAAGTGTGATTTGACTTTCCGAATACCGATTTCGTTGATTTTAATCCTCCAAACAGAGGGTTTGATCCTGCAATCACTCCAAACACTATGGTGTCAATTAGCAAGTTCTCGTCTGGCTAATTTCTCCATCTTTGATTTTCCATGGTGTTGGCTTTTATTGAACACTAGTCAAAATACGCCCACGCGCTCCGCGTGTGTGATATTTTTTCAAAACAATGGTTATACAAATTGTCCCAAAAAAAGAGAGAGAAAAGAAAAAAGAAATGCACGTAAAAATCAGTTAGAGGTTATATCAATTTTTTTTTTTTTTTTGAAATAATTTGTTGCTTAGCGTTAACCTATTAACCTACCTTTCTATATCCACTTAATTAATTTGGCCATCTTATAAATTCTTACAAGGTTAGTTCAGGAAGTAGTCCCTCAACATCTGCGCCTATATTTCGTTTGGCTCTTAGAACTGCGGACTGGTCCTTACATTACTCCAGAGATAGGCCAGGGCCGGGACGAAACTATATGTTATAAGGATTTTTTTTTCTTTTTTTTGAAAAAACTATTTATATATTTATTATATCCTCACTTTTCTTGCTTCCAACCTACCGGCTATTAATATAGACTCCATCAAGTTAATTAGCATTGATTTAGAGTCCGTTTACTTTGTTAATTCGAGTTTTTAATTCGAGTTGAGATGTGACTTTATGTGAGAGCTTTTTACTGTAGTAAAAAAGTTAGATGTGATTGTTTTTAAGAGCTTTTTACTGTAGCAAAACTCGAATCGGTGAAATGAACGGGGCATTAGTGTTTTATTATTAGCAGTGACTTGTGTTTTTGTTTTTATTATCCATCTCCCATCTTTTTCGTCTATAATAGAAATCCTAAAGCCTATTAATTGAATGAAAAAAGAACCTGATAAAGGATTAGTTTCATTCCTACGGCCACCACAAGTCAAATTTAGTAGTGAACGATACATTATAAGGTGGGAACTATGGAGTGTTAAACCTTAAACCCATCATAAAAGAAAAAACTGAGGCATCTTAAGCGTTGCACCACGCCATTGGTGTTGTGACTTTTTTTTTTTTAAATGGAAACAAAAAAATAAAAAACAACATGGGTGTTGTGACTTAGTTACTATATCCATGTGTAACATTACATCATATTAAGAAAATATAAACATGTTAGCTAGTTAACTTCAATTATTTATGCAGACCGTTTCTTATGTAGACACCCTCGGGAAAATTATCGGGAATGTTTCCTTTAACGTTGTTGATAACAACAGGTCCTCCAAGCTCATCAACCGGCGCAAAGTTGCTCTACAAGTATAAAAGAAATGTTAAGTCATTAATCAATGTGTTTGAAAGTATGTGATACTCTAGTACGTACTATTAATACGTGCTACCCTTGAATGGTTGGCTTATTTTGTACCTGAGACGGTAGCAATGGTTGATCAACAAATTCAAACGCCGAATCAACAAAGTCATCCAACATTTTGGCCGTACCATTCTTGATGGTTTTCGAGACATGATCTACTTGTTGCACTGCTGATCTCAACAATGGCTGTCCATGAATTTTTTTAATTTTATGCATATTATTATAATGTCAACGATGCAGATCTAATGAGACGTACCTATTCATATATATCCAACAAGGAGAGGAGATATGTATACATACATATATTATATATATACGTATATGTGTGTGTATATATCATAAACTAACCTTGACAAGTGAAGAGAATGTTGTCTTCAAGTTCTCATAGTTGGCAGGTAAAGAGGGCCTCCCTTGAATAGAGCAACTCACTTGAAATGCCATATACGATGATGCCATTATGCATATGATGCAGCGGAATGGATGAGATATAGTGTTACCAGTCTAATCCGGACAGAAAATTCTCAAATCTACTTAAAAGAATCCCGTAAGAATTAAAAAGAAAACTCAATTCTAATTTAATTATCAAAATATTCAAGTCGTAATTATTTATAGCTCATTTACAAAAATGATAACAAAACACCACTAAAACAAACCATAAACTAATAACAAAGTAAAACTAAATTAGTAAGTTAAAATAAACGACAATAAAAATATAAAACGTCTACTAATCGTGAAACCTCCCTACAATAGTATATGTATCTCTAAGTGTTGGAAAAATTAACTCAATTGATCTGCCTTCCAAAGCTCTACGATAGAGGTGCTTATATAACCTAACCATGCAAGTGTATGATTTGGATATAGACATCGCTTTGGTCAACTTTTTAAGCGTACAAGATTTGCGTTGAAGCGTATAATCATGACTAAAACCTCCCAGCTGGCTGGTTCAATACCTGTACGACTAGAGGTATAGAATTAATTATTTGGATAAAGCCGCCTTGAAATTGAATTATTTCCCTTAAGAAACCACACATGAAGAGACAAAAGTCAGCAATATTATAATATTCTTTTGAGTAAATATCATAATAGTTTTCTATTACGAAATGGTTGGAGAAAAGTCAAAATATGACTTGTTACATAATGCTGTTTATGTCAAGTATGGGAGTGACGAAAAGATAGGATGGCTTTTAAGATATAGATAGCTAGGGCCCACTTCATATTACATCGAACGTTATTGCCTTTCTGACAAAAAAAAAGGCCGCCAAAAGAGACCAGCAATAAAGGGTGATTGTACAATTTTCTCTTGCGATTAAAATGGCTCTGAAGTGTGATAATTTGATAATATAGGATCCCCTTGAGAAACGGGCAGATTGTCCAATTTTATTTATAATTTCTTTATTTATTAAAAGTAAATATTGTTTTGCAATTTTTAAGGTACGTTTAATTAGTATATTCATGTCATGATTTAAATCATAATTTATAATTTATTATAATATTTTTTTATAAAAAAATACACATAAATTAAGAATAATATTAATTCATAAACTAAACGTTCACTTAATTAACTTTACAGTTAGTAAGATTTTTTTCCCCTTCTAAGGAGGGCTACATAGAAACATCAACGATCAAACGATAATATGAGGGAAATCCTACGGTAGTGCCATGATATAACCACCATAGATACTAGATAGTGTGTCACCGAATGATCATAAACGTTATGAGTAATATTATGACGGTGGATAATCAAACAACAGTTTATATTAAGTAGGAGTGTAAATCGGTCAGGTAGGGTCAGATTGAGCTGAAAAATTAAGCCGACCCGATCAGTGCTAGTTGAGAAAACTTTGGGCCGCAACACTCTCTTAAGTCTACAAACCCGCAACCTTTCGGGTGACCTCGGGTAGGCTCGGGTTACTCGGGTTGGTGAAAAGCAATTTTAATCTATGACTTCATACCTCTTTTAACAGTCTAAAAGCATAAAATCCATAAACAACCCATAAGCATTAACATAACATCAAACATACTTCTTAACAATCAATAAAGTCAAGAAATAAAATTAATACGTCAAATAAACAGTCCATATAAAGATAATCCAGTAAAATAAGAAATTTAGTCCACTCCAAACAATTTAATCCAGAATAATAGCACCTTCATTCCCAACTTGCCCCTCATGTGTTGCAACATAATTTGACAAATCTTGAGAAGAAAACATAACAAAAAAAAATCATCAGAATCAAGTTTAGGACAACAAAATAAACAACAAGGAGACTAAATAAAATTTAAAAAATAAGTAAAACGTAAAAAGATTACCTGACTCAATATCTTCATATTCATTAAAGTCTTCCACGTCAATAAGGTTGATGTGCTCACGACTACGCAGCCAATTTTGTGTACAAATCAATGTTTCCGCCATCTTGGGCTCAATGAACTCCTAAAGGGATCGAGGATGTGGCCTCCGGTACTAAAAGCAGATTCTGAGGCTGCCGTTAAAATAAGAATGGCAAGAATGTCTCTTGCAACTAGTGAGAGAACCTTGTAATTAGTTGCATTATTCTTTCACCAATCTAAAACATCAAAATTTGACCTTGTTGGATCCTCCATAGGGTCTGTCAAGTATCTGTCCACATTATTTTTGTACTCATTCACATTCTTCTCCTTCATTTTCCTAACAAACTTGCTCCACAAACACCCTTTTCCTTCTACTTCCGTTTTTGCCTCCGTTGTACTTGTTGTTGCCGCCTCCCCACTACTTTCATTAGCCACAGATTCACCCTTGTCCCCACTATAAACCTCATGCTGCCAGTACATAGTATCTTTCACATTCTTTGCTAATGTTTCAGAAGTGCAAGAATCATACACTATAGAGAAACAATATGTCAAATAATCCATTTTGTACCTAAGATCAAGTACAACAGCCACAAAGAGAAGACAATTTATATTCTCAACATTTACCCAATACTTATCATACTTCTTTTTCATACTCACAGTCATGGATGAAAGCATTGAATCCTCTTGTTTGCTTAATTCAGATAGCTGGTTTTGCATCTCACAAAACTCATGAAAGTAAGAATTTGAAGTGACATTCAAAGTGGCACTAAACTTCAAAGTTATATCATCAAAAGTCTTCAACAATTTCACAAACACCTTAACATTCTCCCAATCATCATCAAGTGGCGGGCCAATCTTCCGTTTCCCCCCTCATCTTCCCGAAAATAAGACACAAACTTGTCATCTTCCTCTTCATATCTTTCAAAAGCTTTTTGAAACTTAATGGCTGCATCTAACATCATATAGGTGGAGTTCCATCTAGTAGGGACATCTAGGCATACGAGACCTTTGTATTCAATTTTCTCTCGCTCCACACATGACTTGAATTCCACCACCCTAGCCGGGGATTTCTTGTCTTGGATCCTTAACATTCTCCCAATCATCAGAGTTTTTTGCTTTTTGTCTTGGATCCTATATGGGTATTTCTTGCATTGCTTTTCTATGTGAACCTTCAAACTACTGGTGCCATGTCTCCTACTATCACATGCATATGTTGCCACACAATAGATACACTTACACCTAGGCTCATTTGGATCCTCACCCTCTATGATTTTGAAATGATCCCAAACAGGAGACTTTTTTTGTGACTTCTTCCTCTTTTTACTGTCTCCCTCCTCTTTTTCGTTTACAATTTTAGTGCCCGAATTAGGTACAAGGGCAGGGTTGGGTGTGGGAGTGGACAAGGTAATGGGCTCTTTAAGCATAGAGACACTTTCTGTTTCAGCAGAGGACTTGCAAGTGCTTTCAGAAGTTTGTGTCGGGTGGATGATAAATTTTTCCATCTAACACACAAATTAACCTAAAAAGTAGATAACATATGATTGAGACTAAGCGTAGAGATTAACCTAAAAACAGATAACATATATTTCTCAGAACTCAATCATCACAAAAAAAAAAAAAACAAAATACTCAACATAATTGCTTTAAAAAATACCAATACATACATTCAAGTTTTATTTTTAGCTCCCTGGATTTATACTCTCATCTACATCTTCATGCCAATACAAAACACTCAGGATAATTGCTTAAACCGGCCCATCTCTGCCTATAAACCGGCTCAGATTAATTTATTTTATCAGCTAATTTTGTGCCCAAAAAATCAAATTACAAAGTTGCTAACCAGAGAAAAGCCGTTTTCTTTTCCTTCGATTTCAAAATTTTCCCCATTTCTCCCACCAATCAAACCAGAGAGCCAAAGAAAATAATCAAATTCAGCTGCAATGGAAGAAGGAACTTACCTGATGACTTAATAGGATCTCCGTTGGGATGACCCATGCCACAGGAGGTAGCTGAAAGGTCACAACTGTCTGGGATCTTTTCGATTTGGAGTCGGACTATATATTTGTCACCGCCGTGAGCTCCAGGGCAACTGGAACCAAAAATGACATCAAGTGAAAAAGAAGCATTAACCAAAAACGACATCAACCAAAAATGAAATCAAACAAATAGACCCATTTCTGTTTGGTTTGCTCTGATTCAAAGATAAATCAAAAAACAAAATAAAAAAAATCTGTAAGAAGAAGAGGAATAGAGGTTTACGATGAATGGCGAGGAACGGCGAGTGTGAGGAACGTCGAGAGACTGTGGAACAGCGAGTGTGAGGAATGGCGAGAGACTGAGGAACGGTGAGAGACTGAGAAGAAGAATATGATCGGATAATGATGAATGACGAGTGTGAGGATGAAGGATTTAGGGTGAAGTGGAACGGAGAATGAGAAGGAGGAGGCGAGGCGTGCGTGAGTGAAGTGAGGCGAGAGGTGAGAGGAGAGGAGGGAGGCGAGAGACTGAGGAGGGATTTAGGGTTACAGGCTTACAGCACGCTTGGCCTAGGGTAAGTGGAAAACGGCTGGGTCGGGGCATTGCGGGTTCAAGAATGCCAGACCCGCCCCCAACCCGCACAGTGCGGGTTGGGACTATTTGAATCTGAAATTTTTGTTTTTTTTAAAAAAAACCTATGTATTCGGATCGGGTCGGTTGGGTTTTTCGGGTTCGGGCTCAATTCTTACACCCCTAATATTAAGTGTGCGGTGTACCAGCTGCCTGTAGATAAAGCCTGTGGTTGTCAAAAATTTCAACTATCAGATGAGTCCCAAATCCTATATGGGTATTTCTTGTCTTAGATCCTTAACATTCTCCCCCCCTCATCTTCCCGAAAATAAGACACAAACTTGTCATCTTCCTCTTCATATCTTTCAAAAGCTTTTTGAAACTTAATGGCTGCATCTAACATCATATAGGTGGAGTTCCATCTAGTAGGGACATCTAGGCATACGAGACCTTTGTATTCAATTTTCTCTCGCTCCACACATGACTTGAATTTCACCAACCTAGCCGGGTATTTCTTGTCTTGGATCCTTAACATTCTCCCAATCATCAGAGTTTTTTGCTTTTTGTCTTGGATCCTATATGGGTATTTCTTGCATTGCTTTTTTATGTGAACCTTCAAACTACTGGTGCCATGTCTCCTACTATCACATGCATATGTTGCCACACAATAGATACACTCACACCTAGGCTCATTTGGATCCTCACCCTCTATGATTTTAAAATGATCCCAAACAGGAGACTTTTTTTGTGACTTCTTCCT